CTGTTAACAACGCCACTTCACCCGCAGTCTGATGGGATGGTAGAAAAGTACAACTGAACACTGGGACAGGAATTTGTAAAGTTTTGTAATAGCCGCCAAGATGACTGGGATGTCTTACTCCCTCCACTGTTGATAGCCTACAGAACAGCAGAGCATGAAGCCACTGGATACACTCAAACAAAGTTGATGTTTAGTCGGGAACTTCGGTTGTCAGTGGATTTGTTAACAGGACGCCCACCTTATGAAGAGTTGCCTGAAAATGTGTCAGAGTTCGTTATCTGAAAGGATGGATGATATTCACCATCAAGTGCATTCAAACTTGAAAACGTCTGCTGATTCCATGAAGCTATGTTATGATAAGAGATCTACTGAAGTCAGCTTTGTACCAGGAGACAGGGTGTGGTTGTATAATCCCAGGAAGACCAAAGGGAAGTCTCCTGAGTTGTCTTCTCCATGGGAAAGTCCATATGACATAGTGGATAGACGCTCAGACGTGACTTTCCTAATAAAATGTAAGCCAAAGGTGGTGCATGCCAACAGGCTTTGGCATTATCATGGTTCAGGACATTTCAGTTGGAACAAAAGGAACATTGGAACAAATGATGCTGCTGAAGATGTGTCACCTGAAAGAACCACTGTCGAAGACGAAACTTTATCTGGTTTAGAGAAGGGAAACGGTGAAGCTGTTAATGAAATTACTACCACTGATAATAGGACAGTTCCTGATAGAGCAGATAAACTGTCACGTGAAGCAGAAGCCAATGAGACAGAGACCAGAATGGAAGAAGATACGTCCCATAAAATTAAGAGACTTTGTCGAATTTTAATTTTGTGTTTGTAAACTCTGTATATTTAATTAAGTTATTGTTAATTATCTATTGGTTTAATGTAAGTGGCTATTGTTCGGGATAAACAATACTAAGGAAGAGGCAGTGTTACGACAGCGGAAGTCAAATGACGCTGGTAACACGTGATGAGTTTTAAGAAGGGTCATAAAGGCCCGAGTGCTTTCTAGGCACCTTCTATCTTAGTATATAAGCCCGCCAAATAAGCAGAGATATAATTGCAGATGGGGAGATATAGAGACAGATAATTGAGTCAAGTCGTAAGTAAAGTGCGTAAATTATAGCGTGTGTTAAAGCGAAAGTGACTGTGGAAATTCTGTGTATTGCAAAGTTGTATTGAGAAAGAAGAAACTAGTTTTATTTAAGAAAGGACTTGTATAGCTGAAGTTCCTCGGAAAAAATTGATACCGGAAATTAACAAACGACCAGAGACCTAACACTATGTTTTAATATCAAGTTTATTCGTATATCATGATACTTAAGTACTTTAATTAAATTTGAAAGCAACTCACTAAAACATCGTGGCATGCGCACTTAGATCCACCCGTCGCGAAAGGTTCGGCTTAGTAGATGAATTGAATGCGCAGTATTTTCCTCAGCTTTGATAAAACTTACCAGATATAAGTTTTATTTTTAAACGTAATGCTAAAATTGTATGCCCGTGCAAAGTGCACGTGCCATGCTGTATGCCACCAAACTACAAGCTTCTTGGAAAAGTTTTCATCTCTCCTCCTTTTAATGTGTCAAAATTAAGTTCGCAATAATCCATTTAGATTATCTTTCATAGTGGCAAGGTTCATTTATATGATACTATTTCAGAAGAGGTTGCCATGTAGAAATCTGAAAAAAATATACACAATCCTTCCCACTAAGTCTGTTTGTTTTGAATTTCGTGCAATGCTACACATGGGCTATCTGCGCTAGCCTTCCCTAATTTAGCAGTGTAAGACTAGAGGTAAGGCAGTTAGCCATTACCACCCACCGCCAACTCTTGGGCTACTCTTTTACCAACAAATAGTGGGATTGACCATCACATTATAACGTCCCCACGGCTGAAAGGGCGAGCATGTTTGTTGTCACGGGGATTCGAACCCGCGATCCTCAGATTGCGAGTCGAGCTCCTTAAGCACCTGGCCATGCAGGGCCCCCACCAAGTCAAAAGATTTTGAACATTGAAGAAAATGCAATTAAACCATACCAGATGATCAGAAAAAGTTTGAGATTAGGTTTAAATTCATCAGTGAAAATTTTGTGTTATCAATTAATAACAAATAAATACAGTGCTACAAGATAAAATTATATGGAATAATGATTAAACCTATTATTGTTTGTTTTTAATATTTAATCAACAAATTTAATGCATAATAAATATATAATTTAACAGCACTCGTTTTCAGTATTTCAAGTGGAATAGTGATAAGTCTTGTCCATATTTCTCTCATCTTTCAAAACGCATGATTTAAGCAACCACTAAATCAACTTTACATATATTTAAATATTCAGATATACTTAATTTTCAATAGTGTTAAGCAGTTCAATAAAAAGAAAAAAATCAGTATTGTAGTTACAAAATTTCTCTTTTAATTTAAGTCATTATAACTTGTTACTTAGTAACCCTAGTGAAACTGGCTTAAATGCCACTTTACTGACCAGTGTGTTTTCAGAGCTCATCACTTCTGATAGTCAGGTAATAGAGATAAAGCATGTGTGTTATTTTAAGTCAATATTTTCTGATAGAAAATTAACATAATTTAAGAACCTAGTTTCTTTTTCATGCTACAGGGTTGAGTATGTTATATTAAAACAATTTTGAATATTCAAGGCAGCAAATCATGTGACAATCACAGCCAATATAAAGTCACAGTGGAATGTTATGTATCAGAACTATATTTGGTGATTTGTATGAATTGTGATGCCACCAAAAATTTATTGCTTTATGGAAGGATATGCAATAGTCCTTTCTAATGCAAAATATTCGTACACTAAGCGCATAAGGTAGTTTAGATTGAGGATTTAGAATTTTCAATATGAAATATCTCTTGTATTTAATGGCATTGGAAAATAAAGGAATATGGATGAAACTGGGGCACCAAGACCATACAGAAAAGAGATCTGCAACAAGTCATACCCCAGCCTTACTAAGCAAAGTGCAGCATCTTATAACGTGAGAGAATCCACAAACACATAAATCAGCGGCAAAAGCCATCCACATACACCAAGAAAGAGTAGACAACATAAGAAGGATCTCCATCTGGAGAAAAGCTCAACAAGGTATATTTTCATCAAAGTGAGACTTCCAGCCAAACCTCCTGTTTCATAATCACATACCTTAAGCAGCTGGAAAATGAAACAGATATTCATGCTATTCCATATGAAGATATATCAATCAAGCCACTGGGCACAACAGCTATTATTTCTCTAGTGAAACAGTCACCCTTGTACACTAGATTGGGGTGGGTGGGTACTTTGAAAACAACAGGCCATTGGAAACTACACTGCAAGGCAATTGTCAAGATATATGGTCATCAGGTAAATCATGAATGGACGTGGTGACACAGTAAAAGGCTCCAAAAACTGTTTTAATACGTGGTACTCAACCTATGTATAAACAATAATTACTATCATTACCAGTCATTCAAAGCTTATCTTAACTTTAAAAAAAAACTACAAACATGTGACAGTTGAACTTTTAGAAAGTACACTTGGAAATGACGGAATACTTGGGGAAAAAAAATCTTATGAAATATTTTGAAAAATTTCTTCTTATTGGTAAGATACATGTTATTTATATATAATTTCATTCATTTACTTGTTCACTGTATTGTTTCAGGTTTCTCTCTTAAGCTAAATAAGACATTAACAACTCCATGTGCATATTTTCTTGAATATATTTTATTCTCCTTACAAAAACAACTCCACCTTCTGTGAAGTACAGGGTACAATAATGTGTTTCTGAAAACACACACACACATACATATATATATAGTTACTAAACTAGGCTGTATAGTCCTCGTAAGAAAGATACTACTCAATTAGCACTACTTCAAGCATTCACTACAAAAATAAATATCTGAACCATATGATATAACCCTGTAAGTATGGACGGTGTCAGTATTAAATCTTCAGATATGAAGCAAATCTGTGTAACAACATAAAAAAAAATAAATACAGTCTCACAGATTTCAGGAAAAAAAAAAAAATACAGTTTTATCAAAATATAAAATGGTAGCTGGTAAAAAATAAGTCATCACATTTCTTCACACACAGCTTTCCCTAACACACCACTGCATTTAACTTTGGTCTATGTAATTTTTCTTGGTATATGTATTTAAATCTCAAAAACAGAACTACAAAACTTTACATACAAAAGAGTTCAGGCACCAGAAACATCTAACCAGTTGGAAGTACCACCCATAACATTCAAAGTTCAACTTATAATTTTCACCATGATTAACATAAACATTTTGGTTTAGTTATTCTGTTGTAAGGTTCTTCTTAAATATTCTAGTCTTTTGCTACAGAATAATGAAATTGGAAGATATCTTTTCCAAACACTAAAATTCAAATCCAGGCTTTTTTTTTCTTCTAATTTTGGTGCTACAATAAATGAGATACAAAGTTATCTTTCCCAAACATTAGAATTCAAACCCATGTTTACATTATAGTCTCTGTCCTACAGTATAGTCAGATTTGAAGTTATCTTTTCCAAACATTAAAGTTCAAGTCAAAGCCTATTATAATTTTGGTGCTACTGTATAGTGAGATTTGGAAGTTATCTTTTTCAAGCACTAAAATTCTAGTTCAAGCTTAAATTCTATTTTGATGCTACACTATGATGAGATTGGAACTAGTAAACACTATTAGCCAAGCTAAATCTTACAGAAAGTACAGTTAATAATACATAATATAAACTTTGCACTGCTTGGATTAAAAAAAATATTTAATTGATCTAATTCTTTATCAACATTAACACAGTGAAATAAGCAAATTCCAATATCTTCAAAATAAATGACTACAAAACAGGTTAGTAAAATATCTAGGTACAAAATAATGAGATTTAATTTAACTTTCATATATTGACACATACATTCTTATGCTATGTGATACAAAACTTTTCATACTCATCACTATCAAAATATATTTAAAAACAATCTAGGAATGTAATGCCATCACAGTATAATCTTATAAAAAATACAAATATTCTATGGTAACATTTAAAGCTATTTCATTTTTGTAACAGGAATGATGTTATGTAGAATATACAGTTACTTTTTACTGTAAGTATCTCACCTTCCTGGGGGAATCTGAATAATCACACTTTAGAGTTCATTATTCATTAAAACATCCGATCATTTTACTATAGGATTCAATACTTGCATCCTCTTCAATGTACTAACTTGAACAAAAAATGGGTAGTTAATGTTTTATATAAATAAAATACATCATTTAAATTCATCTATAAACCTGTACATTGGATGTTGTAGTGAAAAATCAATATATGTTACTAAAGGCACTGGACAACTATCTCTGGCTTTTACTGAGCTACTGATATCTGTTACTAAAGACACTGGACAATTGTTCTGTGGCTTTTATGGAGCTACTGATATCTGTTACCAAAGACACTGGACAACTGATCTCTGGGTTTTACGGAGCTACTGATATTTGTTACTAAAGGCACTAAACAACTTTTCTCTGGTTTTTACTGAGCTACTGATATCTGTTACCAAAGGCACTGGACAACTGTTCTCTGGCTTTTACGGAGCTACTGATATTTGTTACTAAAGACACTGAACAACTGTTCTCTGGCTTTTACGGAGCTACTGATATTTGTTACTAATAACACTGAACAACTGTTCTCTGGCTTTTACCAAGCAACTGATATCTATCAGTGAAAGTAACAACTGTTCCTGAGCTGCTGTTGTCTACTAATATCTAGTAGTAAAGACACCTAATAACTGTTCCCGGGCTGCTGTTGTCTACTGATATCTGTTACTAAAGGCACCTAACAATTGTTCCTGGGCTTCTGTTGGTCTGTTGATATCTGTTACTAAAGACACCTGACAACTGTTCCTGGGCTGCTGTTGGTCTACTGATATCCATTACTAAAGGCACCTAACAATTGTTCCTGGGCTGCTGTTGGTCTACTGATATCCATTACTAAAGACACCTAATAACTGTTCCCGGGCACTGTTGGTCTACTGATATCTGTTACTAAAGGCACCTAACAACTGTTCCTGGGCTGCTGTTGGTCTACTGATATCCATTACTAAAGACACCTAATAACTATTCCCGGGCTGCTGTTGGTCTACTGATATCTGTTACTAAAGGCACCTAACAATTGTTCATGGGCTGCTGTTGGTCTGTTGATATCTGTTACTAAAGACACCTGACAACTGTTCCCAGGCTGCTGTTGGTCAACTGATATCCGTTACTAAAGACACCTAATAACTGTTCCCAGGCTGCTGTTGGTCTATTGATATCTGTTACCAAAGACACCTAACAATTATTACCAGGCTGCTGTTGATCTACTGATATCTGTTACTAAAGACACTTAGCAACTGTTAACAGGCTGCTGTTGATCTACTGATATCTGTTACTAAAGACACCTAACAACTGTTCCCGGGCTGCTGTTGATCTACTGATATCTCTTACTAAAGACACCTATCAACTGTTCCCAGGCTGCTGTTGATCTACTGATATCTCTTACTAAAGACACCTATCAACTGTTCCCAGGCTGCTGTTGGTCTATTGGTATCTGTTTCTAAAGGCATTTATCAACTGTTCCTTGGCTGCTATTGGTCTACTAATATCTGTTACTAAAGACACCTATCAACTATTCCTTGGCTGCTGTTGGTCTATTGATATTTGTTAACAAAGGTATCTATCAAATACTTCTGAGCTATTGTCGGTCTACTGATATGTATTAGTAAAGATACTTAACAACTGTTGCTGGTCTATTTATACCTATTTCTAATGGTATTTGAAAACTATCTGTGGACTGCTGTTGAACTATTTTTACTAAATATACTACTAAAAGCTTGATATACCATAAAAACTGGTTGCATTTGAAAGGTTAAAGTAATATGCTACCAAAAAAAAGGTCAGTGTGGAAAATAAAAATCCTAGTATTCCATTAAAAACAAGGTTATTCAAAGATATATGTCATTATTTTAATTTGGAAAAGAGTATTTGACTAAATAAACAGGGCTAAAACAATGTCAGACCTAACTGGCCAGTTAAGTAAACAGTCATCATAAAAGCTCATAAAAGAATGGAAGTTTTTTAATACTTACAAAGTTTTGGTGTAAACTGCTAAAACAATAGTTAATCTTAATGTCAGATGATGTCTAAGGAATAAAAAGCATTCTTTATGTTTACTAAATATAGGTTAATATTACATGAAAAACTGAAGTAAATGTTACTTAGAGATGATAATACTTCTGAAACAGGAGATAACCATATGTTCAAAACAATGAAGTTTATAATTTGATTTCTATAACATGATTCGATTCTACATAACTTATAAACTGTCATAAATGATTAAAAACAGCAAAACTTTTAAAATACAGTAAAAAAGACAGCCTTTTATTACAGTTCTAAACGGTAACTAAATGTTTGCTACTTGAAATAGGCATATTACATTGAAAAAATAAACAGGAAAAACTACAAGCATAGCAATCTGTACATTTGAAGAACAAACTATTCTTCTATAAGAAAACGTTACTCACAAATATAAATATGCACAATCACAGCTTCATGATTGTAATAGAGATTCATCAGAACAAACTTATGTAACTGCTTAACTACATTTGTTTTAAATACAATCTAAAAGATGCTACATCAGTCTCACAGTAACTCATTGTTGTCAAGAAATATTAAGAGAAAGAGGTACTACAATTATTTTTTACTAATGACTAAAAATGTTGCAAAATTATCTTGTTTATGGTATCCATTAAATGTTTAAAATCCACATTTTGCTATAAGTTACGAACAATTTCACTTTCTTTTTTACCAAGAAAATTATATCATGTTATTTGGAACAAAATCTCAACCATCATAATACTTATAATTTCTGCACTTTTCTCCTAGAATCTATCCTTTGTCAAGGTTCCAAGCTCTGTGTCCTGTAGGTACTGCAATTCTTGTAAGTCCTGAAACTTTTCGTTGTCTTTTATATGAGCATAGTTGGCTGACAAACATATTAAATAGTGAACCTAGAGGACAACAAAGATTTATTACCTAGTGAACCTAGAGGACAACAAAGATTTATTACCTAGTAAACCTAAAAAGAGAATAACTGTCTTTATCATCTACTTTAGTATATCAAATACAGTATAAAATACGTTTGACCAATCTTGTAACCATTACGTAACTAAACATATCAATTTCAATGTACTAAATGTTTATATTCACAAAAATTTTGCAAGCTTTTAGTAAATAAGTCTTTTGTACATGAAAAGTCATATTTTCTAATACAGTATTTTTTACTAAAGATTTCCCTGAGTCAGTCTGAAGTGATTTTCATGCTAAAAATAAAAATACTTTTCATTTTACAGTTTCACATTTTATTTGCTTGAACTCTAGAACCTCCTAAGTGAATACCAAACATTTCTGTCAGTAAAACTTTATATTTCATCTATTATTTACTCTATCTTAACATTAACTATAGCCAATTCAGCAATGTAAGATAAAAGTTGAGGAATATGAAGTAAATCTACTTTTTTCTTCTCTTTATAGAATGACTGTAGCAAATAATGACACTATTTATTCTTACAGCGAAATCCAATACTTTTCATATCTGTGTCCATTTAGTTTTATTGCTTTACAGCTGCACTTAGACCCTCTACGAGTACACCAAAAGCCATTTAACAGAGCTAAAGAGCTTTGTCTAAACAAATAATCAAGTTACAAGCACCCTACGATGAAATTACAATTGCACAACATGATTTATAATAAGTGCTAGGACATTGTGTATCATGGTAACCTTTTTATTTCATTTTTTTTTCTTATCTAAACTAATAAGTTTCTAATTTTTACATTTAAGCTACTTTTATAACAACAACAACAAATATATATACATATAAAACATGAAATTTTGTATGCCAGTATTTGGGCTTTTTGCTGTTGGAGGATGAAGCACTGTGAAGCTTATTTTTTGTAATGACATTGGTGGTCCAAAATATTATTCATTTTTATTTAAAATATGCAATTTACAACACAAAACATGATCATGAACAAAAACAGAATGTCTAAAAAACTACTATAACCTAACTGGCTTTTTAATTAAGTTACAAACAGTTTAAAAACGTTTGTTAGTTGGTTGAGCCAAACACCACAAAAGCAGACAATGAAACTGATGTTAAGTATTTCCTAACCTGGCACTAGTCTTGTAACAAATTTAGTAAAACAGAATCTGCTCTTTCTATTGGCTATATCTAATTCAACAGCAAATGTATGAGAAAATTATTATTATTTTTTAAAGATGGGATGAAATAGGAGGGTAGTGGCATGTGGGTTTGACATTTTGTATATCTCAGTAAAGCAAGAAGCTTGGAGGCTATAAATATACATTACAGCTTAGCAATATCTATACTATGAATGTGTAATCAGTGGCACACTTGGAAGATCACATAGTGGTTAAAAAAAAACCTAAAACGGGCAATTTGGAGTGAAGAAGCATAATATGGTACATAGAAATGAAGATTGCAATTTATTTAAATATTTCTTTTGAAATTAAGAAATTAAACTTATAAAATATCAAAATTTAAATTATAAACTATATGTTGATTGACATACATCAATAATAAAGTTATTTACTTAAATATTTGGTGTAACTCTGTAAAAATGGTTATGACATGCTCACTTTGACCCACCCAAATCTAGAAGGTTAAATAGTAAGCTTGGAAAGAGATTTATTACCTATCAAACTTGAAAATAGAATAAATCTCTTTATTATCTATTTAGTATATTATAAATGTTTTTTTAAATCAATTAAAAAATACAATTTGCAAGTAGCTTTAATAAAACGGAATGAAAAGACAAACATCTTTAGTGAAGATAATCAAATGCAATTTACATTTAGGTTTACTTTGAATCATTGCTGATATAGATTAAAACACCAAACCATTAAAACTCGTTCCTTCATTTTTACAAGTTGTCTCTTCTCAAAACAATATGCTAATAAAGTCTGAATTTGTTGGACTTCACAAAGTATATCTTACCAAGCTGATAACCACCAGTGCACAAGCTGCTGTTGCTAATAGATACATAATGGTTGCTTGCTCCACCTATAGACAGAAAACAAGTCAGTATTACAAACTGAAATATGAAGTCAGTATCATAACAACATAAACTGAGATATGAAGTCAGTATCATAATAACAAACTGAAATATAGCTTGTACAGTGAAAACTAGAAAGTAAAACAGTGTAGCATTTACAGTTATCGAATTTTGAGCTCAAAATTGTGAAAATGTTTGACTCACAACAGCAGAAACCAAGTTGAATAAATCAGCAAAAGATAATTTTATCACAGTCTTTGAATAATGAAATAAAAATAACTTCATATTCATTATTTCTTTTCACAATTATATGTCATTAAAGTTCTGATTCTAATATCAAGTTTAGAACCTTTCAAAATCAAAAATAATGTGTTACATTATTTACAGTATAAATGAACTGGTAGAGCAGTAGGTGAATGATGGTGTTTATTTATAGACTAAAGTGAATGTGCTACATTATTTATTTATTTATAGATTAAAGTGGATGTGTTACATTATTTACAGTATAAATGAACTGGTAGAGC